CCAACGAATTAATTCATAACTAACTTAGAAATAAGTGGAAGTAATGTGGTAGAGTAAACAATACTCAACTCATGTACTTTAAGAAATGCCAACTATCTTTACACAAAACAACAAAACAAATTAAATGCCTTTTCATGGTGGTGTTCATATTACTATATGCTAAGTACTTTATATTTTTCAGTGACAGAAAAGAAAGTGTTTTACAATCATGGTGTTTTTGTATATTTTTCTTCACCCTATCATGCATTCTTAGTCCAAAAGAAAACCAAAAAAGTAGTACTATTATTCTTCTTGGTGAAGTTATATGTATTGGTTCTATCAGATTATCCATTCAGCTATCTTTAATATCACTCATATACATGATACAAGGCATGCATAAAAAATAAATGAAATTCAATTTGGTCCCATGCATTGACTTCAAGTATTTTTGTACAGTAATATTTTGTTATAAAATAATGGAAGATTATATTCTTTAATATAAAAATGCTCCAGCTATATAAGATATGATATGATATTATATATCTTGTGTGAACAGGCAATTTGATTTTTAAATTAGAATTTTACAGATTGGCAAAATTATTGTATAATGGGGTTAAATTAATTATAATCTCATTAGAGATTATGGCTTGATGCATTATAGAAATATAATTGATTCCTCATATAATACACTCATAGAGAGGAGTGATTGATTTTAAGCTACTACCTAAATATTCTAAGTAGATATTAGATTTGTAACCAATTAAAAGGGTCAAAGTAAACACATGATTTTGGACCACCCATACATAATATTATACATCAATTAATTATTTTAAACATATGCATTTCTTAGTTTTTAAATTTTTTTTTTAATTTGTTTTATATTTTATTCTTTTACATTATGTTTTTATGTGTGTGGCTAAACATTCTGTCCAAATCTTATTATGACTATACAAAACTTTCTTCAAAGGTAAAAGTCACATGAAGCTTAAAACATGTTATAATCATATTGGTTTTATACCTAAAATATATGTATAAATAAGTGAAAGGTAAAGAAAGCCAGTAAAGATTCATGAGCATTTGGATGAGGCGGGAAGGGATATCTTTCGATTTAATCAAAGGTCATGAGTTCAGACATAGTTTTGGGCATGTAGGAGTGTTGAATTCTCTTATAAGACAGATTGTCACATATTGTCACTTTATTTAGTTCGAGAAATTAGTCTCTACAATTACGCATAAATGATACATTATTAAAAAAAGCCACTTAAAGTGTCTGCTGTACTTCACGTTTAACACACAAATTAATTTTCTTTTATTCAATAGTAATATTTAATAAATTCAATTTCTTCAGTTATATACCATAAAATAAATTACTAAATAAGTCCACCAATTAATTAAAAATAAATATATTTTCAATAAATAATTATGAATAAATGTGTACTTACTAAATGTACTAGTGAGAGAACAAGGATCTGTCCATGTAGTGGTTACGAGGATTCATGTACATTTTTCTCGTGGAATCTTTTGTATCCCTTTTGACCTTAAAGGTTGAGACACTTATATAGGCCCACGGGCTTTACTAGTGGCAGTGTTCATCATCCCACTTCTAGGAATGTGGGGGCAGATAGACTTCTTCCTTAACTCATGGAAAGACGTTTTTCCTCCATCATCCATATTTCTTCATTGTTATTCCACATATTGTAAATGGGTAGATCATGGGTGGTAGACCCAACCTTGTCGAGCGGCTCGCCATGCCTTTTAGATGACTATACTCCTTTGGGTGACCATGCTTATTTTGGGCATCTAGTCCACTTTGGGGCGCTTAAATTCTTTCCTACTCCCAAACTTAGTTATGTTATAGGCTACTTTGTCATGAACCTTCCTTTATTCAGATTTAAAAATTATCCCAGTCTATAGTCCCTCAATCACGAGGGTTTGGAAAGGATGAAGTGATTTGATTTCAACGTATCACCATCATAAGATTTAGAAAATTCCTCAGAGTGAGTCCTTAAAGTGAAGCATAGGGCAAATCCCTCATGTGTCAGCTAGGGTAATACATGCAACATTAAATGCTTTTAATGTAAATCTGCATCGGGAAGCCAAATTTGTAGAGGACATTAGGTTCGTCAAACATGTCAAGTCATGAGACATGTGGAGATTCACTATGCAACTGTTGGTGTGTACCTAACATAAGGCAATCATAGCCTACATGACCTAGGTTTTCTACCTTTATAAAAGAAAACATTCAACTTATTGACATTTACGTTATTCCAAAGTTTATGCTATAACAAGTCAACTGCATTTAACATTCCTCCAACTTCCATTTTCTTCTCAAACATGTATAATCCATTCATCTCTTTCTTCAAGCTTCTCTTTTTCAAAAATTGCGATAATTAGGGAGTTAGATGAGAGGGTTAGTGAAATTGAGCCTTTAAACAACAAGGAACACATGCAATTGTACGAATATTACATGACCGATCACTTGATGAGTTGGTGGAACAATTGACTATAGGCTCATTGAAGTAGGAATGTTTGAGAGTTACGAGAGCACCTCTGACTTTATTAGTGATAATAACTATCTTTTTCCTGTTCCTTCTTAGGAAATTCAAATTTATCTATGGAGACCATTTCAACAAAGTGCTCATGAGTGGAGGACTTTGAGACACACTACACCCGTGATCAGAGTGTAGCCTTCTTCAGGAGATGCATGAGCTATATGGAACGAACGATGATGGAGAGGTGATTCTGAAGTTGTGCTCTGAAATGGAGCGGATTAACATGGTCAACCTAACAAATTCCCCTTACGCCTTCTTTTACATGTGCATGAAGGTCATTCATGACGTAGGGATGCTCATACCCTTCACCCACTTTGAATTTGAGGTCTTCGGGATCATCAACATTGCTCCCTCATGGATTGTGTCCAATTTTTAGGCTTTCATAAGGGCGTTAGAAATCATCTGCTGGTGCCTAGAGGTTAACCCAACATTGGGACCCTTTTTTTATTTCTACGTTACTAAGGTAGGGCCCAAAAATTGGTTGGATGACTATAAGCGTTCTATCAGGAAGAGTCTTATTCACCCCACTCTAATAATTACATAAAATAAAAAATATAGGTTCGTGAGACTTAGGGGGCACAATTAAGTGTCTACGGTCACCGTTAGGGAAGACGCTGCCCATCATTTTTCCCTATACTAGATGGAGAATCCATTGACCATAGTTATTTATGATTTTGAGTTCTTAACCAAAATAGAGAGAGAGAGAGAGAGAGAGAGAGAGAGAGAGAGAGAGAGAGAGAGAGAGAGAGAGAGAGAGAGAGAGAGAGAGAGAGAGATGGTAAACCTAAAAACATAAAAGTTTATATAACTGCTCGTGTCAGCAAAAACTCGCGAACAAAATAGAATGAAATGAGACAAACACATTAGAAAGTGAGAATTTAAACTCTTAGTTTGTTCCGCACTAAAGTGCAGACAAAACAAATATGCTCGACGGATCAGACCCATTTTACCACTCCTAATTACAAGAATCAATATAATAATTCCATCATCAATATCACTAAACTAAAACCTTTAATATATATATATATATATATATATATATATATATATATATATATATATATATATATATATATATATATATATATATATATATATATATATATATATATATATATATATATATATATATATATATATAAAAGTTTAGTTTTTATATTTTTGAAAAATGAAAAAATAATAATTAACATAAAATATTTTAAAAATATTAAATCCTAAACCCAATAATATAAAAGTGGCAGCTGAAAATAAACTACTTGGAATAATTTATCTGTTATTTATGAAATGAACATCACATAAAATTGATGAAAACAAATAAATTGTTAAAAATGTGTGCCCCGCGCCTTATTCAACAAGTAATACTATTTTTCAACGTAGCATCAGATGCTTCCAAACGTTGCCATGTGCACACTGCCGGATTCAACAATTCTGAATTCGAACGTTGCTAATTCTCTTCTGTCTGTTTTTTTCTTTCACTTTCAAATCTTCTTGGAATTTTCTCATCCTTTTAATATATACTTTTATATATTAAATACATGTTTATCCACTCTCTGTGATCAATGCAATGCTGTACTTTTTTCTATAAATATTTTATTTTAAAATTACTAATAAATACTCTCAAAATATTAGCTAAGAAATAATTTTGGTTGGTGTGTATTTTGTCAGTTTTCAAAGTTTGGATATTGAATAGTTCATATATATATATAAAAGTAAAAGTAATTAATTTATATTAATTACGAAAATTAATTAAATATAGTTAATTTTATTAATTTCATGTAATCAAAATAAAATTTATTATAAAAGATTAATATAAATTTTTTTGCATAGTTAATTCATGGTTATTATTCAATAAAGAATTAGAATTAGTAACTCTTTTAAAAAGTCAAAAGATAAATTGAGAATCAAACACCCTGTTTTAAAAAAGAAACTGATTTAGAAAAGAAACCTTCTAAATAGGTTTTTACTTTTTAAATATTTAAAACTCCTAGCTGGCTTTAACTACCTACCTTTTCTCTCTCACTTCTTTCTTATTACACCCCACTCTCTCTCCCTCACACACTACCTCTCTTTCCGTTCCTTCTCTCTACTTTGCTTCAGTTTTTTTTTTCTCTTTACTGTTTCCTCTGCATTTTCTATAATAGCCAATACCTTCGCCGGCAGAGTGAACTCTTTTCTGAATTTCCGGCGAAATCACAGCTACACTAGCTCGCCGGGGAAAATATATTACTATTTTCTAACTTTCCGGCAAAATCAATGCGACCCAGATTTTAGAATCGTACTGTTAGATCCTCTCTCGCCGGGGAATCCTATTATTTCTATTATTCCGGCGAAACCAATACGACTCTGTTTATAGAACATCACTCCGAGAGCCTCATTCAACGAAAAAAACCAACTTTTTAGGATTTTCCGGCGACCCATTTCAAAGAAACTTACTCTGAGTGTGTTTTCTGTCTATCTTGCTCTGCAACAATGTCGATCTTCGACGGAGCTTTCATCAACACAGAGCTTTCCAAACACACATCGATCTTCGGTCTCCGTTTATGGGTTGTCATCGGAATCTTAATCGGTGTTGCCATCGTTTTCATCCTCTTCCTCATCTCCCTCTGTGTAGTTTCCCGCCGCCGCCACCACCGCCGTACTGGCGACTACAAAATCACCGGTGCTGCTCCTGCAAAGGAAATCCAACAGATCGTGCACATTCCAGGACCGCACATGCTTCGGCGACCAGCTCCGGCGAAAGTACCGGAGATCCACGTGGATATCGGGAGGCAAGAACACAGAGTGGTGGTTAAATCAGATAGGGTTTCAAGTGGTGAGAGTAAGGGAACAGCGGGAAGTGGGTGTGATACGACGTCGTCTTTTGGGAGTGGTAGTGTCGGTGGAATTGGACCCGAGGTATCACATCTTGGTTGGGGAAGATGGTACACTCTGAGAGAGCTTGAAGATGCAACTGGTGGGTTGTGTCCAGAAAATGTTCTAGGTGAAGGTGGCTATGGAATTGTTTATCATGGAGTACTCACGGATGGTACTAAAGTTGCTGTCAAAAATCTCTTGAATAACAAGTATGTGTTCTTTTTCAAAATCTTCATTTAGGTTTCTTATTTGTGTAACATGTTTCTATGTTTGTGCCTGTCATGTAATGTTTATGTCTTTTGTTCATAGTTGTGATAATTTTCTGTTGTGTGATGACAGATGAAATATAAATGGATGTTTGTGTGAAAATGTTTCTGTTAACTATGTTTTCACTATCTAAGTGTGGTTATGAAATTCATAAATAATTGTTCTTTGTTGTTTTAAGTTTTCTATATTTGCTTTTGGCAACCAGCCACAGTTGTTCCAGGGAAGGACAAAACAAATGAGTTTTTATGTTTTTGTTTCGTTCTGAAATGCTTATCTAAGTTTTTGCTCAAAACACGCAATGTGACGAAAGATAAATGGACGTCTGTGTGAAAATGTTTATGTAAAATTCTTAAATAATTGCATCTTCTATTATTTAAATGATCCGAGACGTATAGTTATTCCTTGCTGTCTTTAAATCTTCAATTATTTTCTTGTTGGCTGGCAATTAACAAGATATATTCTGGGCAGCGATATCGACATTTTGATGTAGGCCAGTTATATATTTAAATGATCCAAGACATATAGTTGTTCCTTACTGTCTTTAAATCTTCAATTATTTTGTGGTTGGATTGGCAACTAAATATATTCTGGGCAGTATATGGGTTGGGCAGCGATGTCGACTTTTTTGATGTAGGCCAGTATTTTCTTTTTTACTTTAACTAGTGGTTCCACTTTGTAACCATCTTTTATTTTTGTGTTATTCTTATCTAACAACCTTATGAGTTATCATTTAAGTGGGGGCTCATTCATGTCATGTGAGGAAAATAAGTGATTTTCTTTTCAGCTTTTGGTTTGCACATGTATGGAGTTTTAACCTTTTAATTACTTCAAGTTGCGGTTAATGAAGGTTCCTTGGTAGGGTCTTGCATTGTCTTTTTTCTAGAAGTAAGTATAAGTACTTGATGTTTAACTTCTTCTCAGGGGCCAAGCGGAAAAAGAATTCAAAGTCGAGGTAGAAGCAATTGGTCGAGTGCGTCACAAAAATCTTGTTAGGTTGCTTGGATACTGCGTTGAAGGGGCCTACAGGTACTTAATACTTTTTTCTTAAAAGTTGGAAGAGAAAAATTGATGCTACCAATTTTGTTTCATTTTGAAGAAATGTAAGATTTGAGGTATGACATTGTTTTGCAGGATGCTTGTGTATGAATACGTTAACAATGGAAATCTAGAACAGTGGTTGCATGGAGATGTTGGACCTGTAAGCCCTTTGACATGGGAAATACGCATGAACATTATATTGGGAACAGCTAGAGGGTATCAATCATATTTGCGATTTATCTACACACATTGCAATTCATGATGATTCACGAATGTTTGATCACCGTCCTTCTTTTATTTTTTGTTATCTTTTCAGCTTGGCATATCTTCACGAGGGTCTCGAACCAAAGGTTGTTCACCGAGATGTGAAATCAAGCAACATCCTCATTGATCGTCAATGGAACTCCAAGGTTTCTGATTTCGGGCTTGCCAAGCTTTTATGTTCTGAGAATAGTTATGTCACGACTCGAGTAATGGGGACATTTGGGTTAGTAATTATTATGATTAAGCTAAGCAATCTCCTTGCTGTTTGTGTATTATTTGCAATTTGTACGTGTAATGAATATTACTCTCGAGTTTTTGGAAGGTCAAAAGATCGTGACTCTCTTGTATATATCTTGTTGTAGTTATGTCGCACCAGAATACGCATGCACCGGAATGCTGACTGAAAAGAGTGATGTTTATAGCTTTGGGATCCTTATCATGGAGATAATTACTGGGAGAAGTCCAGTTGATTATGCTAGACCACAAGGAGAGGTTAGAAACTACCACTCTATGAAGCACCGACACCTGAACATCTAATATGACACTGACATGTCGACACTCTTGATAATCCGAGAAAATGGAAATCATTGAATGTACCTACAACACTTATTGATGCAGTCTTCTCTTTCTTTTGGTCTAACTATGTTTGTTGGAGTAATTGCAGGTTAATTTAATAGAGTGGTTGAAAACTATGGTCGGTAATCGAAAAGCTGAAGAAGTAGTTGATCCTAAACTACCCGAGTTGCCGTCTTCAAAGGCTCTTAAACGCGCTCTATTAATCGCTCTTCGGTGTGTTGATCCCGACGCAACCAAAAGGCCTAAAATGGGACATGTCATTCACATGCTTGAGGCCGATGACCTGTTATTCCACAATGTATGTTCTTCTTATCTCGTTAAAAATTACATTCTCGATATGATCGTTTAATCAGAGACTCATCAAACTTTTTGTTACCATCTTGTTCATAGGATCGCAAAACTGGAGGCGAGTCTTCGCGATCCTCTCTTCACGAATTTCAACAAGAGCACGAGAACTCGAGTTTGGACAAGAGAACAACAGATGAAGGAATCAGTGTTGAAAGTGAGCATGGTAGTGGTAGAAGTAATCATCAACCTACTAGAGGGAGATGAAAATAGTGTGATAAATTATATAGAATTATGTATTTTAGTTTTTTGATTAATATTTATTAGTTTGCCGTTATTTATTTTAATCTCAATTTATAAAAGAAATCTGTATCTGTTTATTTGTTTTTCTTATTACACAAATTTTACCATGTTGTAACCAACCCCAATTTGGGATTCATATTCAAAAGTGTATACTGTGATTTGTTATTGCAAAATAAGAAAAAGTTTATTTTATATTCTTCATTTTGTATCAATTGAATATGTAACTTTCATTAGTGTTAACACTTTTTTTTTTTCAGTTTTTGTTCTTATTCCTTTCATTAGTGACACTTTTTCAAAGTGTTAGCAAAAATAGAATCAGTTCCTTTCAGTTTATACATTTTGACTTTAGCTTTACATCTTGGTTCAGTCTAAAGACAGGCTGTTTATGATGTTTGCACATTTGGAATATTTAGAATCAATTTTGTCTGTTGCTATCTATTAAAATTAGTTTTATATCAAAATTCAAGATTTTTTAATATTTTAAAAAAAAACTCTTGTGGTGAACATGTCCAGAACCATACATTTAAGAGTGGTCCAATATAAAAGGATATATGATCCTAAACTTTATTAAAATTTCAACAGAATGTAACCTAATTCCAAAAACTATCTATAATATGAGATCTTAACAGTCAGATATGCAACATTCAGTGTTACTTTCTGAAATGTTTGAGTTGACATCATACGGAGGAGAAAGAGAATGACAACAGGGTATGAATCGCCACTCTTATATATTTAATATTTTTTCATTTTTAATTGACGTGTGAGATATTGAATTGAATTTTAGTGCTGTTGACGAGAATGTTGTTAGCAGGGATAACTTTCAAGTTTCGACAGGAGTCAGGCATGAAGTTGAAACTCGCTCAAATGTTGATGTCGAAGTTAGTTTTAGTAATGTCGAAATGGACCTTGTATTATGAATCCCATTATTTAGGTTAGCTTGTTATTTAATTTAACTTAGTAGCCTATAAATAACATAGATCTCTCAGGTTGTTGTTATTCACTTGTAATCATTTGTACACTAATTGAGTAAGTGAATAGAAACACAATTTGCCCTAATCCTTCTTTCTTCTTTCTTCTCTCGCTTTGTTCTAACCGTTTCATTGTTCACCCAAGAAACTCCGTTTCTCAATCAAGAATTTGTTTATTGGTATCGTTTGTTACAACAAACTTGTGCGGTGAGCGTGGAAAAATATATCGTCAACAAAGTTTGAAATTGAAAAGTTCACTGGAGTTAATGATTTTGGTTTATGGAGTTTGAAGATGCGAGCGCTTCTTGTTCAACAAGGTTTGCTAGAAGCGTTAAAGGAAGAAGAAGTTATGGATGTTGCATTAACGGAGAAGGATAGGACAACGATGATCGAGAAAGCCCACAATGTCATTGTTATGAGTCTTGGAGATAAGGTTCTCATGCAGGTTTTGAAGGAGACGACGACAACTGGTGTTTGGATGAAACTCGAAGGATTGTATATGACAATTTTTGGTGAATCGTTTATATTTGAAGCAAGCTTTGTATTCATTTAAGATGAGTGAAGATAAAGCGTCGACGGAGTAGCTGGATACGTTCAGTAAATTGATTTTTGATCTTAAAAATATTGAGGTTACCATGACGAAGATGAAGCGTTGTTATTGCTGTGTTTTTTTACCTAAGTCACATGCTCACTTCAAAGAAACCCTCTTGTATGGAAGAGAGTCTCTGACATTTGAATAAGTTCAATCAGCCTTGTATTATAAGGATTTGAACAAAAGAAAGGAGCAGAAACCATCATCAGTTGGCAAAGGATTGTCCGTTAAAGAAAAATTATCGAAAAAAGATGGTAGGTTCGAGAAGAAGAAAGGTAAAACTCAGCAGAAGTCTTATGATGGTGATATTTATGGTATTAGGTGTTATCATTGTAAGAAGGAGGATCACACAAGAAAGATGTGTCTTGAGCGCCTGAATAATCATGGAGGCAAGGACAATGACAATGCAACTATTGTGCAAGATGATTATGAATCATCTGATGTCCTTGTGATGTCAGCATCAACTCTTGCAAAAAATGGATTATGGATTCAGGATGTACTTGACATATGACTCCAAACAAAAATGTATTTGAAGAATTATGTGATAAAGATGGTGGATCAGTGCTGTTGGGAAACAATAAAGCTTGTAAGATTGCAGGTATTGGATTTGTGAGATTCAAGCTCTATGATGAGTCAATAAGATTATTGACTGGTGTCAGGTATGTACCCGATCTTAAGATGAATTTGATTTCTCTTGGTGAATCCGAAAAAGAAATGACATGTCTTTAAAGGAGAGAAAAGTATCCTGAAAGTCATGAAGGGGTCGAAGGAAGTCTTGAAAGGTATGAAAAGAAACAAGGCTTGTATATCATTGAGGCTGAGGTTGTAAGTGGTTCAACATATTTTGCATCCACGAAACCAATGTCGAAGGCAAAATTATGGCACATGAGATTGAGCCATGTCAGCAAAAGAGGCTTGGTCGAACTGGGTAAATAAAACCTGTTAGGTGGTGACAAAGTCGAGAAGTTGGAGTTTTGTGAACCTTGTGTAGTTGGAAAATCCTGTAGGGTGAAGTTTAACAAAGGAAAACAAAGAACACATGAATCCCTTAATTACATTCATGTTGATCTTTGGAGGCCTGCAAGGAATCTTTCACATTCAAGTGCAAGGTATTTTCTATCCATAGTTAATAACTATTTCAGAAAATTATGGGTATTCATTCAGAAGACTAAGGTTGAAACTTTTGAGAATTTCAAATTTTGGAAAGTTTTGGTCGGAAAACTCAAACTGGCAGAAAGGTCAAGAGGTTGAGAACCGAAAATGGCCTTGAATTTTGCAATGAATATTTTGATAACTATTGTGTTAAGTTTGGGATTGCAAGGCATAAGACTGTAGCAGGTACTCCTCAACAAAACGACTTAGCTGAAAGATTCAATTGAATAATCCTTGAAAGGGTTAAATGCATGTTGGTTAGTGCTGGATTGAAGAAGGTTTTTTGGACGGAGGTTGTTTAGACAATAACTTATCTGATAAATAGATATCCCTCGACTTTCTTGGGAATGAAGACACCTAAAGAAGTTTGGTCGGGTCAACCACCAGATCTCGACAAACTGAGAGTATTTGGCTGTTTAGCTTATGCTCACATTAGGCAAGACAAGGTCGAACCTAGAACTCTGAGATTCACGTTCCTTGGATGTCCTGAGGGAGTAAAAGGCTATAAGTTGTGGTACCTAGAACCAAGTCACAGAAGATGTATCATAAGTCGTGATGTAGTTTTCAATGAAGTTGAGATGACGCTCAAGAAAATTGGTGATGCTGATCGAAGTTCAGAAATCTTTGAAAAGGAGCTGGAACAGGTAGAGATTCCTTTTGAGGTGAAGCATAGTGATGCTGAAGTGCATAACCCAGATGAAGTCGAAGTAGAAGAGCAAGATCCTGAAGAGACCGAGGAAACTATCGATGACTACCTACTGGCAAGAGATAGGTTGAGAAGAGTCATAAAGCCACCCAAAGACTTGGTTATGCAGATCTTATAGCTTTTGCCTTAATGTGTGCAAGTGAGGTACTTGAAGAAGAACCTATAAACTACAAGGAAGTTATGAGGAGTCAAAATAAGACTGAATGGCAAAAAACCATGGATGACAAGATGAAATCACTTTGTGATAATAACACTTGGGAGCTGATTGAGAAACCTGCAGGAGCCAGGTTAGTTAGTTGTAGGTGGATTTTCAAGGTCAAAGAAGTAATCAAAGGAGTGATGTCGAAGCGCTTTAAGGCAAGGTTGGTTGTTAGGGGGTGTTAGATCCCAATTAGAGTAGTTATTTGACTTTTAATTGATAGTATTTTTAATCATTTTTATCTAATAGTATTTGAATTAGTGTTCAAATTTGCTTACTTTCATTCTTCTGTGATCCAAGTGAATGGTGTGTGTAATGTTGCTGTTAGTGTGCAGGATTGACACTAATAAGAGCCCTTGGGAGACAAGACAAAGCAGTTAGAGAAAGTTGCAAATCAAAGCATTCGCCTGGCGAAGCCCAGCGAATGTTCGCCAGGCGAGCGTAGGCGAGCTGGAGCGAATAATTCAAAATTAACTCCCAGACTCAAATGATAGGAAGTTCGCCAGGCGAAGGTCCCAGCGAAGCTTCGCTACCGTTCGCCTGGCGAAGGTGCTGGCGAAGAAGTGGTAGCTTTCATCATTCCAATTCCAGTAGCGAAACCAACCAAAGTTCGCCTGGCGAGTGAAGCCAGCGAATGTTCGCCTGGCGAATGCGCGATACTACAAATGGGCGGTTTGATATTCAGTGGCACTTAATGTGCCATGCAACTTTTGGGGTTCGCCCGACGAAGGTGATGGCTCGCCTGGCGAATGCACGCAGACAACACATCTTTTGTGCTTTACTAGCTACTTTATTTTACCCATGCCTTGTACTTTATTTATCATCATCTAGAATTATCTTGTAACAAAACATTGGAGCTAAAAAACCCTAGAAACTCAAGCTCTTCTTCATCTTTGTTTATTTTGTGCAATCAAGGAGAAGTGGAATCACATCCTTCATCGATTCTTCGAAGTGGATGTTCTTCATCTTCTCCATTTTCTTCTTGTTTAAGCTACCATGAGAATGAGTAGCTAAGTTCATCCTTTTGTCAAAGATAGATGTAGGTAATCATTGAACTTTGTATTTGTATGAATGATCCTCATTTGTAAACTCTTGAATGATTAATGTATGGTGAAAACTTTGTTTTATTCATAATCTTTTGTGTTGGTTAATGATTGAGAAATATTTACCAACTCTTGACCTAGGTTTTCATCCATCTCTTTTCTTGAGCTAGAAATAGTCTTGGATGATTTTGTTCACTTAAAATGTTGAACTTTAAAGTTGTCATTTTGATAGATTGTGTGAGAGATCAACAATGGATCAAAATGATAAACTTCACAATATGAGTTAGAGATAATCATATTGAGA